AGCACTGTCCAGAGCGTCACACAGTCTTCTGCTGGCTTGCCTTCTTCCCATGGTGCATCCTGGTGTCATCTCTTCACCAGGCAAGTCCACCCAGCCATCCACATGATGCAAAAGAAAACGTGAGTCATCAGACCAGGCCGTCTTCTTCCATTGCTCCATGGTCCAGTTCTGATGCTCACATGCCCATTTTAGGTGGACACGGGTCAGCGTGAGCATTGTGACCAGTCTGCAGGCCCAGATGCAGCAGGCTGTGATGCCCTGTGTTCTGACACCTGTCTATCAGAACCACCACTGAGTTCACAGTCTTCTGTGGGATCAGACAGATGGGCTGGCCTTCGCTCCCCACATGCATCAGTGAGACCTGGGTGGTCAAGACCCCGTCGCCTTTAACCGAGTAGCTAAATGCACATTTCTTCGGTTACAAGTAATGTGCATTGCTGCTGGTGTTAAAGGGGGCTACAGTCTGTGCTCTCCTCGCCGATGGTGGAAGTACTCAGAGCCTTTATGTAGTAAAAGCACCAATACCGGACTGTAAAAATATTCTGTTACAAGTAAAAGTCCTGCATAAAAATGTTACTTAAGTACAAAAATATACTGAAAGTACCAAAAGTAAAATGCAGAATGTTGGGATTACAGTTACCTTGCAGTGGATGCTCTCACCCACAAATGATTACTCCCCGTCCCTTCCCTCCATTAATTTCTTAGAATTATTACTGTGCTAACTGCCAGCTTTTAGCTCACGGCCTCTTGAGATCATGTGGTTATTATTACATTGTGCCTGCAAATACTGTGTGGAGCTGGCACTCACTGCATACTGTCATCGACTCAAACAGAAGAAACACTGAGATCTGAGAGGAGAGAAGGATAATAAGCCGAACAGAGACACACATACAAAATACTGAGCTTACTACTACTGATTTTCAAACACAGCGCTTGTTCTCTTTCAGACGCACACTCATTCTGACACGTGTTCAGTGAGGCAGATGGTACCATGAACTGGGACTAAAATAGAAAGAAAGAGGAGGATATTTTGTCTTTCAGAGTAAAAGAAGAGCACAGCCCTGCGGGCGTCAAAGCACTCACACAACGCCAACATGTACACATGCTGAGAAACACATGGCTGTATAAGGACACTGCAAGACAGGAATGTAAACTAGTGCACGACCTAAAGGGCTCCCTGGTACGAGTCACACCCCTGAACTTCTCGCACTCTCTTCTGATGAAATGACGAGACGCAACAGGTATGAAAGATTTCTACAGACTAATACTGACTACAAATCAATCACTGTGCCAACTATAAAACTGATTTACCAGCCCTCACAGCTACATAGCTCTT